TCTCGTCACAAATTGTTTCACTAGCACCAGGTCTCCAACTGCCAGTTTCCCGTATCAGTCGGAATAACACGATGGGTACCAAGGGCAGCGGCCATTTCTATCTCTGATGCACGATAAGACCACCAGGATTCGCAGTCTTTCTTCAGGTTAGCATGGAGTTGTGCTCGGAGCTCTTTGCGAGTTTCATTGTGTTCGCTTCCAGTCGAAAGATGCCGGCGACCATGGATAAGTTCCAGAGACTGCGAAGAGACCCAATGTCCACGTTGACAATTAGACTTACCACATGAGGATTTGCCTGCTGCTAGTAAGGTCTGATGAATATGAGGCCAGTGACCTTCAATTGCATTCAGTGAGCGCTTATTCAACCCGTATGACAGCGTACTTTGATAGGCATTCAGAACAGCTGGCTTCAGCAGTTGGCTGGTGTCAACGCGGTCACAACGTCGTCGTGAGCGTCTGCCAAAGCGCATCCGTATGTCAGCACATACAAGTGCGTGGTCGGTATCTACACACGTGCTCCAAATCGAGCGACAGTTCTGGACGCAGCCTCTCCAGCGGTAACTTATCGCAATGTGATCGATTTGCGTCTATAGCTGGTTCGAGGCTGCTGGGCGTCAAGTCACCCTTCGGCGGGTGTTGTGTCGGAAATTAGTGCTCGCAAGGAATAAGCGAGCATCGTCAAACATATGATGTAAACACTCGCCGTTATCATTGCGGGAGCCTACACTATGTTGGCCGCCCATATGCAGCTCATCAGTGGATAATTTTCCAACTTAAGCGTTCAGATCCCCAGCAAGCACAACAGTGTCTGAGTTTTTTCTGTGGCGAAGGAGCTCGGTCGGTTGACGATAGATGTCGTCCTTTACCAATTATTCGCTAGAATTTGTGGATGCATAGGCAGCGATAACGAATAGACACCTGTTAGTCCCGTGCGGCTTCGAAGCTTTAAACGAGCCAGCCAATCGGACCGCACACATCCGGCTACTGATTTGGATGCAAGCAACCAGAGTAGCTTCAGGCCGGGGACTCAGGGCAATATCAACACCGGCTTGGCCGGTACTCGAAGCTGCATCGTCACCAGATAGGCGCAATGAGGAAGTGCTGCTAGTGTCACCTAAAGGAGATCGCAGAATGAGCACAGAGCTCGAGTCTTGCAGGTGAGGCTCCCATAAGCAGCGGATATCGATCGAGAGGATTTCTAATGTTCGGGCAAGTGCTGCCTGTTGACCGATCTATATCAATGTGCGTACATTGAGGCATGCCAATCTGAAGGAGGATCGAGGGCTCCAAATGGAAGCCGATGAACTGGGGTTAACCGCTTGCTTAGAAATGGGCGTGTTGACAGGGCAGGAATGAGGCTCCGTGTTCACATGAGTTGAAACTAGAAGACAGGCGACTATTGAAGCAAGGTAGGGGATGGTCAAAAATTGTAGGTTGAAAACAGGGGGGTAAAAGTGAAGCTGGAATGGGACGATAAGGGTGAAAAACCGTAAGAGGGGAAATAACAAGACAGGAAGGTTTGAGCAATAACATCCAAACCCCTATGCACCCTGCTCGATGCAGCAGATAGGGCGCTGTTTAGTATCCTCCGCGATGGCCGGAGCATTAAGAAACCGTTTGAAGAAAAATTCATTGTACTGCGTGGGCAGGATACTGTCAGGTTGCCTAGGCCTAGACAGGAGAACGATTAGGTTTCTCAACCAAAGCCTTTGGTTCGAAAGCTTGACCGCAAGGCAGCGGGTTCGGCGTTGGACTACAAGGAATCCGTTTGAAGGAATAAGGAGCCACCCTCATTCCAACCCCCAACCTGGAGGACCAGGAGGCTGAGTTTGTTTGGCCTCTAACCATTGACCAATCTGGTATGAGGGGCTCTGAAGGTGCAAAAAGCAACACAGCATAGTTCCATGGATCTCTGAGGCACGCAAACCATTGAAAAACGGTAAGGTCCAGCCTCATGACCCACTTTGTACCAGATCGGTTAAAGAATAACACCTGCCCGGAAGTTACAGACCTTATCCATTGATATCTGTTGCTGCTCGGGAAACTACTTGCAACGCGTGAGCTCCGTAGTTACCTTACGATCTCTTTCATGTGACCCTGGTGTTACGTTCTCATTGAGTCCAAACAAAAATAATGCTACTTCAAATGTTGGTAAGAAAAGAGAAGGCATCACCAATACGCCGGTACAGTGTACCGAAGTTTCGCTGTCACGGAACCAGCACCAATTGCGTGTGAGCTGAAGATACTGCGAAAATCGTCCAATCTCCCATGCAGACTCGAATCCGCGACCTCCGGGTTGCAAGAAAGAGGCATTGCATTTTTGGTTACGCACCGGCTCGAATGTTGGTTAAGCAGTCTGGCAATTGCTTTGAGCAACCCAAATTGTGTTGTTCATTTGTTCTTCGAGCTGGGCAATTTGGTTGTAAATGCAAGCTGGTAGCTCAGTTGGCATGCAATTGTTGTATTTATTTTCCCTTTTCCTTTAAACATTGTACGTATGTGTGTATTTTCTTTATGTATTGCGGCACAATAGCGGAGGTGTTTCCCACCTCTAGCTGACGTGTTTAATGATGATGATGATGAGCAGTCGGATGTGTCGTCAGATCGGCTGGCTCGTTCAAAGTGCCAGAATCGCGTAGAGATTACAGGCACCTTTGTCACCGTCGCGCACCTTTGCTAACCCATAGTGCTGACAAGGCGAAAAAGGACTTTTATCACTAACTAAATGTGATCGTCCATCACAGAAGAAGCAGAGATACTGTAGTGCTAGCTAGTGATCTGAAGGTTCAAGCTGTAAAATTGTCCGATATAGATTGTATGGGTCACTTTTGAAGCACTCGTTGTATGAATGGATTACGAGGAGCAATTTCAATGCGAATCGCGATTCCCATTTGGCTCGCCACACGCTCGAATGCTCTGCCCCGTCCATCCTGTTCACGTAGCTGTTCACCTTGCTAATCTCAACCGCCTCAGCAGTCAGCCTCTGTGGAGTTGATCGCAATCACTTTCTAATGATTTCAACGTTATGCTAGTCGGTCTCATTACCTGTATCTATGGTGTGCATCGTTCCCGCAGAACTCCTTGGCAGACCCAGATATTCGAGCTCGTTTCTCGGTGGCCGTGTTATGCGTCTGTGGTGTTCTGCTATCCTCGTGCGTATCTGTCGCGCGGTTTAGCCGATGTACACGTGCGCAGTTTTTGCAATTAATATTGTAGACGCAATTGATTGTTCTATCTGCAGGAAGCGGTTTTTTTTAATGCACCAATGTAGAGCGGAGCGCTTGACCTCTCTAAAAAATTACCCATATGTTTTCTTCATTTAGGACCCACAGAATGGCCTGCGAAGTTCCATCTTTATAAGGAATACCTACCGTCTCAATCCACTCCGTAGTACGCCGTGGGTGAGGATTTAAAATTCGTTACAACTGGTGTTTCACTAACCGCCTCGGGTATTCACTACCAAATAATTGGTTCACTGCTGCTTTCCGGACGACCTTCCTACTTGATATCCGTAGCAGCGAGGTCATTGGACCAACTAGCAGGCCTGTATCTAGCAGCGGATACTGTAACGTAGTTAATACTTCAGATAGAGCGTTGAGTGAAACAGAGCGTAGATTAATGAAGTAGGGTTTGACATGTAATGTCAATAAATTCAGGATAAGAGCCGCAGAAGTTATTCCTAGTGTTGAGACTGCTTTAAAGAAGTTACTCTCTTCAACGGCTGAGCATATTCGTGCGAAGCATGTAAACATTAAAAGATTTCAGCAGTCAGAGAGCTGAATCATGCGCCAGAAGAATGTGCCGCCTTAACTGACCTAAAAGAAGATTCGGACATTGCTATCACAAAAGCCGATAAAGGCAACATCATGGATATAATGAACAAGAACATTTGGAAAAATTGTAGGAGCACCTAGTGGCGGGACCATAAAAGGTTATCGACAAAAAGTCCGTTATGTCAGTGATGAATAAGGATAAGACGGGTTGATAATTAATTAAAGAACGAAAAGGAGCATATAGAACCGGGAAAATGGTACAACATAGACCCGGAATCATCTCTTCCACATGAGTGCATGGCGGATACACGGTTATCGCGTCGTCATCCAGCGCTGGAATTCGCTTCCAGAAAAGTTTGTCAAGGAAGCAACGGTTAAGGAGATTGAGCCTCCACTAGATGCTCTTGGGTGGCGACACGAAGCCTTTCCTTTTTCCTGACTAATTCCCAGCTTCATACTTCGATTCCAATTTCTGTATTTCCCCCCACCGTTGGTATTATCCTCGTCTTTTAACCGATTTCCCTTACTCGTGCCCTTCGATTTTTCTCTTGCTTACTTCACGTAACTGGCATAGCACGGACAGCTAATGCAAGGAAGGTGGGCAATAAATTGGTGGACCAGGGTGTATTTTTGGGCTTCGTTTGAGATCCATTAAGAATTCATAGCACCCCTATCAACCCTGGATAAAGGAGCTGCTCAAGAAGGAGCACTTACGGGATTCATCCCATCGCTCCAGTCCCCCTTGAACGTGAACTTACCAAATATACATAAGCCCGATGTACCCATTCGATCTATTGTAAATAACATAGGTTTCCCGAAGCATAAACTAGCTAGGTAGTTGGCTAGCATATTGAAACCCTTGACAGGGCGAACGAATACGCTCGTAAGGAACTCATTAGTTTTGCGAGAAAGGTGCCGGATCTTGATATTGGATCGGATGAATTGATAATCGATTTCAACGTTCGCTTGCTCTTTCCAAACGTGCCAATATGCGACACCTTGAGATAGTGAAACACCGTCTAACTGGGGCAGTAACTTGTGAGAGGCCGAAGCTTATGGTAGATCGAATAACGGAAGAAAAGACATTGTGCCTTAGAATGTCTTATTTCAAATTTCCACCTCAAGATAACACAAAAACATGCAAATACACGCACAAATGTTAGGAGATAGTACTGTGTAGAAAGACAGCAATCCAAAAGCATAGAAAATGTGTGATGAAACACCCACCTATCCCGGACATCCCGTCACCCAGTGGCGGTCATTAAGCACACACACTCCAAGGTCACGTTGAATTTTAAATCGGAAAGAATCAATTAAATGCTCTTATGTGTTTCTTTTCAACTGGTCGTTTAACCAAAATAGATGGCTTACTGTAACCAAAAGCAAACATCACATCACATCCTTTCTAATCAATTAGGTAGCGTTTCAGCAGTCTGTTCAACTTCAAGTTCAGGTAGTACTGGAACGATAGGATGTATCCCGTTATGGTTCCGCCTTGTGCGGGGCGTCGATCCAGAGGTTGTTAGGGGTGCTCCGACTTCTTGAAGGGTCTAAAACGAAAACACACGAAAAGACACCCTGATCTACAATTTTAATGCCTACCTTCCTTACAGTAGCAGTCCGTGCTATGCCAGTTTCGTGAAATAAGTAAGAGAGGAAGAAAACTGGTAAAGAGTATGAGCGCTTAATGACCGCCACTGAGTGACGGGATGTCCGGGATAGGTGGGTGTTTCATCACACATTTTCTATGCTTTTGGATTGCTGTCTTTCTACACAGTTACTATCTCCTAACATTTGTGCGTGTATTTGCATGTTTTTGTGTTATCTCGAGGTGGAAATTTGAAATAAGACATTCTAAGGCACAATGTCTTTTCTTCCGTTATTCGATCTACCATAAGCTTCGGCCTCTCACAAGGTACTGCCCCAGTTAGACGGTGTTTCACTATCTCAAGGTGTCGCATCTTGGCACGTTTGGAAAGAGCAAGCTAACGTTGAAATCGATTATCAATTCATCCGATCCAATATCAAGATCAGGTACCCTTCTCGCAAAACTAATGAGTTCCTTACGAGCGTATTCGTTCGCCCTGTCAAGGGTTTCAATATGCTAGCCAACTACCTAGCTAGTTTATGCTTTGGGATACCTATGTTATTTACAATAGATCGAATGGGTACATCGGGCTTATGTATATTTGGTAAGTTCACGTTCAAGGGGGACTGGAACGATGGGATGAATCCCGTAAGTGCTCCTTCTTGAGCAGCTCCTTTATCCAGGGGTTGATAGGGGTGCTATGAATTCTTAATGGATCTCAAACGAAGCCCAAAAATACACCCTGGCCCACCAATTTATTGCCCACCTTCCTTGCATTAGCTGTCCGTGCTATGCCAGTTACGTGAAGTAAGCAAGAGAAAAATCGAAGGGCACGAGTAAGGGAAATCGGTTAAAAGACGAGGATAATACCAACGGTGGGGGGAAATACAGAAATTGGAATCGAAGTATGAAGCTGGGAATTAGTCAGGAAAAAGGAAAGGCTTCGTGTCGCCACCCAAGAGCATCTAGTGGAGGCTCAATCTCCTTAACCGTTGCTTCCTTGACAAACTTTTCTGGAAGCGAATTCCAGCGCTGGATGACGACGTGATAACCGCGTCTCCGTTGTAACTCGATCGAGTCGTAGTTTGTCCAGCTTCATATAATGCCCACGGGACATTATAATCTAACAGGGCTAAATTACCAGGACAAATCAGTGCTAACATTCCCAGTCAAAATACGGTGGGTTATGCTTCGGTCTTCCCTAATGTTTGGATATCGCTTTGAATGCATCCCTACACTAAGTGGGCGATCGGGGCAAGTTTCTCCTCGGAAGGCCTCAACCTACCTGGTACCGAAACGCAACACTCTTTCTAATACTACTTTGTCCAGGACGAGGCATGATGGTCAGTGCTGGACGCAATATTCTAGGTCGTGTCGCACAACCACCAAAAGCAGCTGCACGAACACATTAGCGATTAGGGTCCAGAAAGAAGTACAGATAAACCAAAACATCCGGAATCATTTACTAGCCGCTTTATTCCAGTTATGTCTAAAGTGTAAGGTGGAACCGTGGACGACACCTAGATTATCCTGATTAGTCCACTAACAGTAGCTATGTACGACATAGCATTTAGAAACTGTCAGGGCGTCTTTCGGGGCCAACCCTGTCCTCTGCAACGTTCGTAACTTGCATGGCAGTGGGGGATAAGCCGTGCTATATCGCAGTTAGTTTGTAAATCATGACGGTCCGAAGCTGTCCCCGCGGCCCAGTGGCATAAGCTGCTGACTGGCGGTTCAAGCCGCTAGTGGTTATGGGTTCGAATCCTGACGGATCCGATGGATGCACCCTACTGACGATGCCCAGCAGGCTGAAACTGCAGTCTATTGCTTCTCCGAGCATGTGGACGACTATCTGATTTGGAAACTGGCTGCGATGGACCTCACATAATAAATGGATACGTTTCTTTAGATGTAGGTTAGACATCCCAAGTTCTGCGAAAATTACATGTGGTCAGGTACTGCAATAAATTTTACCTACGTACCACATTTTGGGATGACTAAAACTGAGGCAACTGCGCCCTGTTATGATGCCGCTTCAGGCAAACCACTTAAAAGACATACTAGACGTTGGCGAACCTATTCATCCGCTTCTGCATCCTGCAAACAAGTGCTACTGCGAGTTTCGATATGCCTGCAGGCAGCGGCTGCGAGCCTCTCAGCAGTAAGCTGAAGTTGAGCTTCTTCGTATAGCCTCATGCAACCGAAAACCATTTTGCCCTTATACCAAAGATCCAGGCAATATAAAGTTGTCCATAAGGGTGTTGTTTGACTCTGACGGCGCTTCTGTTGTCAATGATCACGAAAAACCAGTTTATCCGGTGAGCAGTATGCAGATGCGCGAGTTTCAATCCTAGGTGCAGCCCACCAGTCTGCAGGTAAAAGTCCCTACAAGATCGTTTCTGGAGGGGGGTACTTATGAGAGGTTCAAATGCTCCGTCTTCTGTCGAAATATATCCCAAATAAGCTGCTGGTATAAGTCCTATTTATCATAAACTGTTGTGCGGCTTGGTTACTGAATACAATTCTGTTTTGGAAGTAGCTATGCAGCTGCTCTCTACCTATTATTTTTAATGAGGATAATAAATATCCCCTTTTTACAAAGGTAACAAACGCCTGCCTGAAAACCATAGACAGGAAAGGTTGAAGCGTGTACAGACCAAGCTGGCTAAAATAATTTTGTATGAGTTGCTCTCGAAGCACATTTAAGAGCGTTTGGATTGATTAACCCATCAACGCTTTCTTAGGAGCCATGCTTGCCTTACTAATTGGCTGGGTGCACGAAAATCTTGGGCCAATGAACAATGGACAATGGTTTATTACGGGTAAAAAAGCATCGCTTAACAAGTCCCGTGTGGGAAGCCGGTAGAAGTGATGTTCACTGACTTTTCCAAAGCTTTGGACACTGTTCCACAATTTTACCGTATTTCTGAACTTTCGATGGGTTTCAGCTTCCCTAATCAGTAGGAAAATAAATTTTTGCGTGGGATCCGGCCTGGCATTTCCACAAAGCTTTCTAACTAGGGTCCTACAAGAGGGAGTCTGCGGCTCCATTCTATTTATTTCATACTTTTATGACGTACCTGCTGAGACTGCCGTCCCTAATGGTTCCGAATGACTCAAAATTTTGGTACATAGCGAACGATCCGAGTGGGCCATTGCCCCCACAAAGGATTCGGAATAGACTTTGGGACTCGGAGCTTTTGTAGCGGTTGCCTGTGTATCTCACTAAAAGTTCAGTCATACACCTAGGTCCAAATGACACCGGCGCGTTAGCTGCTTGGCGGCTAAGAATTGCCGCTGGTGCAACTACTAGCTGACGCAGGAGGCACCCGACTATATGTCCAGTGAACGGTGGGCGCCAGCTGCTCGCAATGGATGGTAAAACAAAATAAATAGTTTATTCTCAAACTTGTATCGACACACCAAATCGGTCATGATCGAGGTTTACAGGCAGCTGTGTATCACAACGATACTTTAAGTTCATCGGGTGTAGTGTAAGCGGCCAATGCACTATAAACGCAGTGAAACGGTACATGTAGACGGAGAGTATCATATCCTTGCACGTGTCGATAAAAAGTTGAAATATGAGTCTAGTCGACTTGCTGGAATGTAGTTGCGGGCTGTGACTTTATTCAGTGGCGAGTCACATCCGGCACGCCGCAGTGTTGTTAAAGTGACATTTTTGGCTTTTATAAGGGGAACGCTTGCCAGGCAAAAACCTACCACGTCCTGCAACACCCCCGTAAGGTATTCTGAACACTGATGTATAACTGGCAAAGCCGCTTGACGATTGATTTCATTTTCGGTTATTCGCAGTCAAATGACTTCCAATTTACTCTGTTGGCTGGACAGAGAGGTTGCTCAGGCCCGCCATAATTGTTGCGGCCGGTTGGGAACGGGAACGTCACTAACAGTTGTTTTATTGTGTGTCCAGGTGAGCAAAGTTTCAAACTTTCTGCTGTCTGGATTTTACAGATATCTAATTTTCGAGAGGGTAAAGCTATTTCCAGCTCTCCATACTGGACAATGGGGGTGGTGGTGATTGCAGTGAAGTCAATTTGGAATACAGCCAGGTTGTGGTTGATTTGGTGTTTAATCGGGGAGCATGACGGCTTAAAGGTTCGTTAGGCTATTTTCGGATTTTGTTTGGCCCACTTGAAATACTGTGCACCGACTTGTCCTCATACCTCTTTGGTGACAAGGTGGCAATTATACAGATGCCAGGGGCTGTGATGAAAATGATGAATGGTTAAAGAAGCATACGTACCCTGTGAGTCTCCGTACGTTGAAAATCTGCTCCGTGCATTACAGGCGAGCGGAGCGAGTTAGTCCTCATTGATAATAATGGGTCAGATTGGTCCTGAGTTAATTGGAGCGTTCCACCCAACTCGAGAGCCAACGCGTCGTCGCCACCAATTGAAGTTGCACAACCCGATCTGACCGGGTTTTGGGCAGCTTTTCGGTTGTTGTGCAGTTGGATTGGATATTGAAAAGTGCTGCTGGCAAAATGTTGTCATGTAATCGCCGTGAGTTTGAACATCGAACTGACGCCCACGGTTTAAAACGTTCTCCTGCATGCCTTAAGCTTACATTAGTTTATTATGGCTTACTTATATTTAACTGCTTTTTATATGCACCTCAACTTGGGTTAG